AAACTGAACACAGTACTCGAGGTGTGGCCTCACCAGAGCTAAGTACAGGGGAACAATCACTTCCCTAGCCCTGCCCACACTGCTTCTTATGCAAGCCAGGATGTCGTTGGCCTTCTTGGCCACCTGAGCACACTGCTGGCTCATATTCAGCCGACTATCCACCAATACTCCCATGTCCTTGTCCACCAGGCAGCTTTCCAACCACTCATCTCCCAGCCTGTAGCTCAGCTTGGGGTTATTGCGCCCCAGGTGCAGGACCCAGCACTTGGCCTTGTTGAACTTCATGCAGTTGACCTCAGCCCATCGGTCCAGCCTATCCAGATACTCCTGCAGAGCCTTCCTACCCTCCAGCAGATCGACACACGCACTTAACTTGGTGTCATCTGCAAACTTACTGAAGGTGCACTTCATTCCCTCATCCAGATCATCAATAAACATATTAAAGAAGACTGGCCCCAGTACTGAGCTCTGGGGGACGCCACTAGTGACTGGCCTCCAACTGGACTTGACTCCATTTACCACGACTCTTTTGGCCCGGGTATCCAGCCAATTTCTAACCCAACGAAGTGTGCGCCAGTCCAAGCCATGAGCAGACAGTTTCTTGAGGAGAATGCTGTGGGAAACGGTGTCAAAAGCCTTGCTGAAGTCAAGGTAGACCACATCCACAGCCTTTCCCTCATCCACCCAGCGCGTCACTTTGTCATAGAAGGAGATCAGGTTTGTCAAGCAGGACCTGCCTTTCATAAACCCGTGCTGACTGGGCCTGATCACCTCGTTGCCCTGTAAGTGCCGCATGATGACACTCAAGATAATCTGCTCCATGAGTTTCCCTGGCACTGAGGCCAAACTGACAGGCCTATAGTTTCCCGGGTCTCCCCTCCGGCCCTTCTTGTAGATGGGCGTCACGTTTGCTAGCCACCAGTCGACTGGGACCTCCCCCAATATCCAGAACTGTTGATAAATGATGGCCAGCTCCTCCGCCAGTTCTCTCAGTATCCTCGGGTGGATCCCATCTGGCCATCTGCATACATCCAAGTGCCGTAGCAGGTCGCCAAACATTTCCTCATGGATAGTGAGGGCCACATTCTGCTCCCCATTCCCTTCCACCAGTTCACGGTACTGGGTATCCAGAGAGCAACTGCTTTTGCTGCTAAAGACTGAGGCAAAGAAGGCATTAAGCACCTCCGCCTTTTCCTCATCTTTTCTAACTAAGTTCCCCCCCACATCCAGTAAAGGCTGGAGATTCTCCTTAGTCCTCCATTTTGCATTAATGTATTTGTAAAAACATTTTTTGCTGTCTTTGACAGCAGTCACCAGATTGAGCTCCAGATTAGCTTTGGCCTTTCTAATTTTGTCCCTACACTGCCTCGCAACATCCTTATAGTCCTCACAAGTGGCCTTCCCTCTTTTCCAAAGATTGCAGACCCTCTTTTTCCCCCTAAGCTCAAGCCACAATTCTCTGTTCAGCCAGGCCGGTCTTCTTCCCCGCCAGCTCGTCTTTGGGCACGTGGGGACAGACTGCTCCTGCACCATTAAGATTTCCTTCTTAAAGGGCGCCCAGCCTTCCTGGACTCCTCTGCCCTTCAGAACCACCTCCCAAGGGACTCTACCAACCAGTGTCCTGAACAGTTCAAAGTCAACCCTCTGGAAGTCCAATACAGAAGTTTTACTGGTCCCCTTTCTGGCTTCTCCAAGAATGGAGAACTCTACCATTTCATGGTCACTCTGCCCAAGACAGTTTCCAACCACCACATCTCCCACCAGTCCTTCTCTGTTTGTGAAGAGAAGGTCTAGCAGGGCACCTCCCCTGGTAGGCTCACTAACCAGCTGCATCAGGAAGCTATCTTCCACGCTCTCCAGAAACCTCCTAGACTGCTTTCTCTGGGCTGTGTTGTGCTTCCAGGATATGTCAGGGAAGTTGAAGTCCCCCACAAGAACAAGCACTGACGATTTCGCAACTTTTGTCAGCTGCCTGTAGAACTCCTCATCACTCTCCTCATCCTGCTTCGGCGGTCTATAACAGACCCCTACCAGGATGCTTCCCTTGTTGGCCTTCCCACTGATCCTAACCCATAGGGACTCAACCTTATCACTCCCAGCCTCAAGTTCCATGACATCAAAACTCTCTCTTATATAGAGAGCTACACCACCACCCCTTCCATGCTGCCTGTCCCTTCTGAAGAGCCTATAGCCAGACATTGCAGCACTCCAGTCATGAGAGTGGTCCCACCAGGTTTCCATGATGGCAACCAAGTCATAGCCTGCCTGCCACGCGATGGCTTCCAGCTCCTCCTGTTTGTTACCCATGCTGTGTGCATTAGTGTAGATGCACTTCAGTTGGGCCATTCCCTTCTCTCCCAGCCTTGCCATTGTTCCCCCTGGCACAGCTCTAACAAGCCTTGTTTCAGCCCCGTCCCTCTTCTTACCTAGTTTAAAGCCCTCTCAATGAACCCCGCCAGCTCCTGGCCTAGGATCCGTTTTCCCCTTAGAGATAGGGACCTGTCTGCAGCCATCAGGCTGGGTGCTGAGTAAAGCACCTCATGGTCAAAAAAAAAACAAATTTTCTGTGTTGGCACCAGCCTCTGAGCCATGTGTTTATCAGGTGGGCTTTCCGTGTCCTCTCTGTACCCCTCCCTGCCACCGTAGGGATGGACGAAAACACCACCTGCACTCCCGCTCCATCCACTAACCGACCCAGTCCCCTAAAGTCCCGTTTGATGGTCTTCAGGCTTCTCTCTTCAATGTCATCACTGCCAGCCTGGACTATTAAAAGAGGATAATAGTCAGAGGAGTGAACCAGGTTCGGAAGCTTTCTGGCAATGTCCCTGACCCTGGCCCCAGGGAGGCAGCAGACTTCCCTTCGGGTAGGGTCAGGCCGACAAATAGGTCCCTCTGTTCCCCTGAGAAGGGAGTCGCCCACAACAATCACCCTTCTTTCTGTCCTGGTGGAGGCAGTCCTGAGGCATGGAGTCAACTTCCTCGCCCTAGGCATCCTCCTGGGTAGACTTTCCACCTCTTCCTCAGCTACCGGTCTCTCAAGCTCCAGGGCCTCAAACCTGTTGTGTAAGGGCACCTGGGAAAGTGGGGCCGGGGGGTTGGGGGGGCATCACCTGCAATGTCGAGCAGGGACCTGTCTCCATTCCTCCTCAACTCCTAGGTCCCCTGCCTCCACCCGACAGCAACAGGGCAGGGGGTCCACCCCCATCTGGGGGTCTCTCCCCGGTACCTGTCCTCCAGCCATGCAAGGAGTTGCTCCACAAGTCTATCTCCTGCTCACATTCCCTGATATCCCTCAACCTCTCGACCTCCTCCTTGAGTTCTGCCACAAGGCAGACCAGGTCGTCCACCTGCTCACACCTCACGCACACAGTCTCTTTGCCCCCCGCAGGTGGTAGCAACAGGCTCAGGCACTCCATGCACCCGGAGACCTGAACTGCCGCAGTGTTGAGTGAGCAGTCGGTGTGGGTGTGTACAGACTTCCTGGAGAGCGCACTGTGCCTGGTGTGCACCATTGCAGCTGAGCTAGCGGTAGACCGCCGTTAGAGGAGGTATTCGTATGGGCGGAGGGGAGGGCACTGCCCTGCCTGCTCGCCCTGCCTGCACTATCTGCTGAGCCACTCCCTTCTGTCGCGCCACGCCCTGCTTGCCCGTCCTGCTCGCGGCGCTCCTGGTCACTCGCGCTCCCTAGGGGCAGCTTTTGAATGGCCGGGGAGGGGGCGCTGCTGGCTCCGCCTACACCTCCTTCTCACCTCATTCACCTCCCTTGCGAGGGCTGCCGGGTCCTGGCAGCTCCCTCGAGTGGGCTCGGTGCCGGAAAAATTAGCCCTGCCTGTTCAATGCCCCGCTCCGCTGCAGAACGCATCTGCCCCGGAGCCGATCACCTTGGCAAGTGGCTCAAAGTATGTTACCTGCAAGGTCCCAGCAGTGTGAAATCAGCAATCTGACTGCTAGAGCTAGGATGTCCAACCAGCAAAATATTTATGTGGTTAGACAACAATGGTGCAAAGCAAAATACACAAACAGACTTTGAAACGGAACATTCTCCTGGAATCTTTGTCCTAGTAATGCTGAGAATCAAAATCACCCTTCCTCTGCAAGATGGTTACTGACAACTTCACATCTTTTATTAGTAAGGTTCCTTCAGAAAACATTTGCTTGTGAGCAGTCATGCTTACCATTCATATATTTAATAATCTACATGAAATTAACAATAGTACTGGCATATTTCTAATTCATGGAAGAAAACTCCTTCAAAAATGCTTTCTCTACTTAAACACCTGCTCTTAGAGTTCATGAATGCAGAATGCATAGAAAAAGGCATATATTGAGAAATTATGGGAAATAATGTGTTTTTATTTCACTTTTTTTTAACCTTTATGTATGCCCAATGAAGCAGCATGAAGGATCCTCTCACTGTACCAAAATAAGTTCCTAAGAGAGTTCTCTAATTTCAAATTAGCTTATTCCCTCTCTGAAACACAGTGATTATTGCATAGATTGGTACACAGAAATGGGAAAAACAGCAGGCTTCATCAGTTTCAAAGGAATCAGCAATACTGATGTTCCAAACTGGAAAAATAAGTGTCAGCAATGACACTGAGTACAATAGAAAAAGTATACATTTTATATGCACCTAATATTTATGTAAAGCATAACTTCTTTTCAGATTATCTCTATTTTCCTTGAATAAAAATAATTTCTTTTTGCATTTTGTCTTCAAAAAACAGCCTTTAGTTAGTTTTCGCCTCATTTGCAATTCTAAATTTCTTTGCCATCAGCTAAAGTAATAAACATTTCTGCCTGGAAGTGTATTTTAAAGAGAATATTCTCAAAATTCATACATTAAATTTGGCAAAGCATTGTTCAGGGTTTAAATAAATCCTCCCCTCATTTGAGTGGTAGTTGTATTGATGAATACACAAGCAACTCTTTGAAAATACAGTATATTCACAAAGAAAATGTATGGAAACCAGATAAGTTTCTTGAAAGGGGAAACTCACTTGTTCTCCAAGGAATGGCAACGATTACTTTGAAGCTCACTTGTTAACTCTTTTCCTAAACCCAGAATAAACGGTTATATTTAAAGCAGTTCATCCAAGCTTCTTGTACTGAATGAAGCACCTACAAGAAAAATACATTTCAGTCATCTGGAATGAAGTTAATTAGTAGAGCCAAGTAGAAACTGGAATTTCTACTTTCTAAAAAAAATCTTTATAGATTTGGGTAATAAGAAATGCATTATACTTATGCTGCATTATACTTTTTAGCCAGAATTATTTAGACTATATGAAATATAGTATGTCTTGACAGCAGAGAATACTTGCATTTGGTATCTGCATGGTCTAACTTTTGTCTAGACAATAGCTGTAGAAAAAAAATCATTAACAGGGAAAAAGAAAAAAAAGGAAAGAAAAAGAGAAAAAGAAAAAAAAAGAAAAAAAAAAAAGAAAAACAGATGAGAAATATAGTTTGAGAATGTTTATTGTCCTAAACATGTATTAGGAATACACCTGTGCTGTACTGTATTAAGTTGAAGAAAGATAGGTTCAAATGGTGATTTTTCATTGTATTTGATTTGTTTATGTCATCTTGTTTAATGGGAAATTTCAACATTCTCTGATAAAGTGTATTGTCTTAATAAATGAGTGTTCCTTATAATGGATGAAATATCTTCCCTTAGTCATAACAACTTTAAAGAACTTATTCTGATTCACATTAAAAGAAAACAGTAGATGCACACATTATCCACAATCAGCTGACAGCTGGTAAATTATAGATGGAAACCAGAAATCCATCTGAAAACTTCCCGGATTGCTCTGAATGTTTTAAATTACTGCAGTCACATACAAGAGTATTTGCAAAGTTTTCAGAAAGATCTTGACAAATTAGAAGTCTAGACAATAACCAACCACATCAAGCTTAAGAGGAGCATGTAGTCAATTCCACACCTGGGACAGGGTAGCCTCGGATATATGCACAGACTGGGGGACAAGAGGCTGGAGACCAGCTGCACAGAAGGGGATCTGGGGGGTTGGTAGTAGTAGATCTGGCAAGTTGGACATGCGTCAACAGTGTGCCCTGGCAGCCAGGAGAGCCAACGGTACCTTGGGGTGCATCAAGCACAGCATTGCTAGCCAACTAAGGGAAGTGATTGTCCCACTCTATTCTACTCTGGTATGGCCTCACCTCAAGTACTGTGTGCGATTTGGGATGCTACAATATATGAAGGGCACACAACTATGGGGAGTACTACAGGGAGTACTAAAAGGTAGACCACGATGGTGAAGGTTCTGGAGATGTATGGGTCTGGCAACATGTAGAAGGAGTAGCTGAATTCATGTGGTTTGTTCAGCCTAAAGAAGAGAAGACTGAGGGGAGGCCTCATGGTGCCCCGCATCTTCCTCACAAGGGAAGTTGGGGGTCAGGCATTGATCCCCTCTCTCTGGTGACAGCAACAGGACTGTGGGGAAATGGCATGGAGTAGTGTCAAGGGAAGAAATTTGATAAAACTCAACAGACCTGTTACTACAAGAAATATAATAACATATCAGATGCATCACAGCAGCAATAATCTACATTTCCTTAGGTCCTAAACAATCTAATTAAACAGAAAACCCTAAAATCCTTATTTGTACAACTTTTGGACAATTATAAAACAAAAGCAAATGGAAGTACATGGTTTTAGAGAATCAAGGACCTAGAAAATAAGCAAGCTCATTGTTGGTGGAAAATTCTTCCTAATTTCAGCTGAGTTTCATCATCAGTGTTACAGAATGTGTTTCTTCGCACCTTGTATGAGATGATTCCTCACCACTGAGGTTAACATAATGCAATTACACCTAGAGTGCTCAAAGGTCTAAAACATGTGTAACCATATAAAAGTTAGCTTGCACCTTTTCAAGCTGTCTAAAGGGACAAAAAGGGTCTTCAATGCCAGGCATAAATAGTCAAGATAATTGAAAAGTAAGCTATATCGCTGACTCATCCAGAGGTTTAGACTTGTTACAGAAATGGCTGTAATTGTTAATTAATATAACTCTTCTGACATGCATTTTCTGGCCAATCATTGCTGTTCCGATTCTTATTTTAACAGTGCTTGTTTCAGCTCTGTAAGTTTATAGATCTATTACTTAGAATGATTCAACATTGAGAAGATCTATCAAGGAATTCAAAGGTTATTTAAATAGAATATGGATGAATATTCTGTCGCACAGGTATACTTGTTATCCTGTATGTTAATCAGAATTTCATTACAAGCTAAGGTCAGATCTAGACAGAATAGTTCAGCAGGTATTTAGTACACTATATCATTTTTTGAGTCACATGTAGCTGTACAAGATAATTAACATTTAATTGATAGTTTATCACACTTTAGAGTCAAGTAAACACCTACATTTTCAGTGTTCATGTTAGTTTGTATAGTTAAGATCAGTTTTGTGGTACTGCACTGAAAGCAGCTATTGTGGATTGCAAAATAAATAGCTCTTAGCATCTGGCATTCAAAAATTATAGGAAGAAAATTACATCCCCCATCATCACAGTATTTTCATGTTTTACAATTCAGAAAAATTGTCTGTGACCTTTTCTGGATAATGATGTCCCATCATTTGACCATGTCATGGGAAACCATTAAATCCTTCACAATTAGCAAATGAAATGTTTCTGTGGTATCTTCAGAGAAATCCAGCTGCCTCGTGCTCTTAACTTTCTGAGGTTTTTTGTTTTTTCTTATGTACCAAGCTCTTAGCAAAATGGGAAATATTTTGCATAACAGAAGATTTCTAGTGAGAATACTTTCAATAACAATATATTTAGACACAGTAAACTGTAAGAAAAAATATTTTAACAGCATAGCTTTTTTCCCATATCCAGCTGTAGAGCATCTTGTGACTGACTTTAGAAGGAGAAGACCTGTTTTCATTCTAACTCTTTGCAGGGAGTATATATACAGAATTTTGTAATAAACATGCATGTAATCTCTCATTATCTTGCTGTTTTAAAATATTACCCTGTGAAACCAAGTCTTGCTAATTTACTGTGCTATCACACTTTTCTAGAAGAAAGTTAATCTTACAGTGGATGCAAAATACTCAGAGCTTATTCCTGGTTGTGAAAGTCATCTTGGCATAGAAAAATATCTACTCATTGCATAGAGTAATGAGTAGGTAGTTTTGGCAGAAACACTATTTCTAACTAGCAAAATTTTCAAGATATGTAAATCTTTTCTCATTTGGAGTCTATATGAAAAGTCAATTAAGAGTAAAAAAGTCATTGAGGTGTTTCTTCAGATATTGTTTAAAAAAATTGTTTCAGGTTTAGTTATTTATGTTTGATTGTTAAAAATAATCAGCTTAAATCTTCAAATGCAAAGTTGTCTTTAAATTAAAACTGGATGTTTTGTTTTGAAAAGAACAAAATAAAAGATTTTTACATGAAAAATATCAGCCCATTATTCTGATTATCTTTGAATTATCACTGATTCAAAGAGACCTTGGATGTTTAGTCACTGATAAAATCCTGCATATAATTCCACAGAATTATTTGACTGTTCTTTAAGAATTGAGCATTATATTTAAATTGATTGTGTTATCCTTGGGGGATTTTTTTCCTGAAGGAATGCCTGTGTGGAAATGGTAAACATTAGACTGTATCTAATTTGCCATGGTATTGTAATGATGCATTATCACATTAAATTTTAGATGAGATCTTTGAAGAACATGCAGAACAGTAATTGGACAGCTCTCCTTTCTGTTACAGTTGGTATTGGTTAACACTGGTTAACCAGTTGCTCTAGATTCCAGATGAACAAATTTAATACTACTTCCTGCAAAGCATCTCCTTTACTTGCTTTTAATTTTACAATATGAACAAAAGTGGTGTGAAAAGTAATTTAAGTAAATTGCTTTTCTTACTGTGAGGTAATGTCCATAGAGACCAATGACCTTAAATGTTATTCTCCTGACAAGAAGCAACTTTCAGTGTACTTTAATCCTCAAAATCCATAACTCAATAAAACAATACCTGTAATGCAGAAAATTGGCTGGTGGGGCAGAATGCTATACAATTTTATTCATTCTTCAACCAAGGGTCAAGAAGGAGCATGGAGCTTAGAAATTCCATAACATATATTTTTAGGACAGTTCTGTGTATTTCTTCATACCAGGTATGAAGTCCATGGGGAAAGATATTTGTTTATTAACTACATTTTTCTCTGAGGTATTGAACGGATTGAACGGATTTTGATAGTCAAAACAGTTTTAGTTCCTTCAACATAAAATTCCTTAAATCTTCTACTCTATTTCTTAGTTTTATGTAAAAATGGAACACATTATTAAATATGTATAGCAGTAAGGTAAATTTCCATTCAACTGCCGTTTATTTATATGATTTATTTTAAGGACAATAAATTACTATTATTCTACTAAATTCTCACAAATAATAAATATTGCAGGTTTTCTTTTTTTATATATACTTTTTATATTTTCATTTTGGAAAATGCAACATAAGAAACACAATTAAATTTTTATGGGTTTAAATATAGAGAGAAATTTAGAAATTAAAGTAGAAGACTGCCTCCCATTCCAAATTGGAAGCAGCAATATACCAAAAAAACAGGATATGAAAAATCTATAAATCTATAAAAATAGAAAAATCTATAAATGTTCATACTGGCTTTTTTACCTCTGCAAATAATTTATAAAGCTCATAACTTTAATGCTATGATGCTAAAGTGTCCTTTCAGGTTCAAGAGTTGTTTATTCAAACATAAAATTCAAAAGCAAATTCTAAAAATAAATCATAAGAACTCAGACCCATAAGAAAGAACATGACTTTCATATCTTAATTTTGCCATTGTAGACATATTCATACAAAATTAGTTAGAAATAGAAAGAAATTATATTTTATTTTTGATTAAGATACAAAAGCAGTAAATTACACTGTTGAAATGGTCGAAGGGAAGCAGAAGTGTTTGTTGCATCTTTACAGCAATGAGTAAAAAGTAGATATAAAACTAAAATTTAATGAAATCAAAACAGAAATATGAATTCTCAAAGTGTCACTTAGTTTTCATTTAGGCAGCAATATGGAAGAAGGCAATTGTCATAATTTTTAAGATCTCC